AACCCAACGCAATCGAGATCGATCTCAGGCCTCGTAGGCCTTCCTTCCACATTGGCTGGTGACGCAGGAGATGCCTGAAGTGCAGTGAATCAGAAACTCTCTGCTCGGAATCTGGACATCAACCACTGCACACACACACACACAGACCAACAAGTACACGGGGGGAAACACTAGTGACACCTATCGTGGAGGGGTAGGACACCTTGCCACCAGTACCATGTCCGGGCAGTCACAAGTCTTTCGGGCATCTTTAGTGGTTCTGTTGATCACTACAACAAATAAGAGAGAGGGTGACAGGCAGAAATCGCCATCTCAAGTTAACAGTCTCATTTCCGGCACACCCCGCTCCCACCCGGTATCCACGATGAAGTCCCCCTACCACCCCCCCCCCTCCCCCCTGGAAGGCCATTTGTTCGCATCTTCCTGTCCATCTTAGAGACTGTGGCCATGGTTTTCATGAATCCGCCGACTGCAAACAGCGTGTTGGACACAAGAGATGCAGTTTGTCCTTACCTGTTGCCCCTCCCCTTACCCCTCCCAGGCAAAAAACATGAAAACAAAAGCCTACAGGCAAACGAAATGGCAAACAAAAACAAAAAGCCCTAGGCCTGTTGCGTCACGTCAGTAGCACCCCAATCCATCACTTCTGGCAACTTTTCCAAAAAGTGCAAGTAACAAGGAAGTGTGCATTGATTTTCCATTGGCCCTCTACAAGAACACGGGTTCAAAACCCCACACTACCGATCCAGACCACAAACGAACGAGTGCGAACAAAAGAAAAGCAAGAAGCATCAGCAGAACAGGGCTTGGTTGCATCAGTAGCACCCCCGCAACTGCATGCGCTCCGCATGTAAAACACGCATGAGAAAATGAATCGCCCCACACCCATCTCCGCTCATCTCCGCTCATTACACCCTGCGGCAAAGAGACACAAACCAACCAGTTCAAACGAAAGGTCCTTTCCCAAACGGGGTTTGTCATGTGCACATGAAACACATGTGAGAAAGCAGCCCTATGTCAATGGCCTGAGCCGGAGGCGTTCAAGCCGAGTGAGAGTCATAGCCCTTGGTAATGACAGTACTGACTGCAATGCGCCAGGCTGCCTTTGGTATCCACAATGTGAAGGGCCTGGGCAGCGGCTTTGGTCCAAAACAAAGCCGCACAGGGGAACATGGCCAGCCCCCAAGCAAACCGAGTAGAATCCCTGCAGCCCTAACATACTCGGGCCTTGCGTCCGGCATCTGCTTCAACTGGCCTGCTGGATGACGCTGTCTGGCAACAGGATAGACCTGCAGCGCATGGCTTTGTCACAGGTTCTATTTTGGTTCGTGCCTCCTCGTTGGGGTTCTGTCCCTGCACTCTTCCTTTTTGGACCCTGATTGAACGGCAAACATGGACAAGTAAATGCAAAACAGCCATATTCAGTTCACTTGGCAAACCCGTTGCCATGTCACACCCGCCAACACATGCCGGCCGCGCAACGCTGCCAAGGCTTTCTGGCGATGCTTTGCTTTCGGATGGGGCCAATTGCTCAGGCCATCAGCTGCCTTTCAACACTTTGAGAATGAAAAGATGGCTTTTTCAGTCTGTAGAATCCGCAAATCGAAATGAGGGCTCTCAGACATCAAAGAATGTGAACAAATAAAGTTAGAGGCACATCCAAGTACAACCACAATTGCCAAAGTACAGAGCCAATGCTTGCAAGCATGATCTCTCCAACATTTGCTACTGTTTCCTTGCTAGACTTAGAGGTGATGCATGGTGCTTCGAAACAGCTGCTCTCTTTCGAAACCCCAGCCAATGCCCCAGCCACTCCCAAGCCAGCCCAGCCCCCTTTTCACTCCTCCGAGGCGAGCTGCCCGCGGCCCTCTGGCGCCTCTGTGCGTCCAATGGAGACAGAGGCGGATTCACTGTTGACCAAAGCTCTAGGATTTGTCGAGAGGGTTTTGTCAAGGGGATTGCCCGAGGCGCAAGCCAGTCCTGCCAGAACGTCCTGTAGGGCCTGGCGTAATTAAAGCACACATTGTCAGTCGCTATGGCAATATGATGTGGTGCTAGCTGGATGCATCGTGTCTGCTTTCACGTGGTGCTGTTGCCAGTGGCAAAGGTGTCCAGCCTGGCCACACGCACAGTCAAGCGAAGCAGCGCGCTTCTTTGGATTGGGGACTTGTTGGTAACAGGAAAGTATTGCGCTTGAGGTTTGACTGTGAAACTAAAGCAAGCGAGTGGTTCACACGCATCAAGTGGCAGAAGGGACGGGCTGGCAAATGGACCGTTCTTGGTCTTTCACCCCCCTAGAAAGACGGCACACAATGACACCACCCCACGTGATTTTGGTGCCTTGAACCGCTGCACCCGCGAGGCAGCGGCCATAAGGCTCGCTTGTTTTCGGGGCAGTCTGTGCTGCTTTCTGCGGAGAGGTTGGTGATGTACAGGCAAGCAGCTTTCGAATCGCGATGGTCATCCGGCTCAATGCATTTCTGGCTGACCCGACATTGACAACTGAAGTGTTCCCGCAAACACAAAGCCACATGCTCGCACTCTGCATAGACAACGAAGACTCTTTGAAAAAGGGCCAGGGCATTCCAATCAGCCGCCTATCTGTGCCTCGGGTCTTGACTCCCCTGACCCGAACTTGTTGCGCGGCGGTCCGAAGACTCTGGCCCAAAGCCAAGAAGAGCGGAGGCATGTGTCAACTGACAACAGGCGAAGCGTGCATTTTGCCCTAATTGATCAGTGGTTTCCGATTCGCGAACAGGAAAGCTGGCGGTTCCGTTGTGGGGAACCCTGTGAACAAAACTGGGTAAAGGAGCCTCAAGACTGCCACCCCAGCGAAGGTCCACCATCAGCTCTGAAAGTTGCCACTGGGAATGACAGGCAAGCAGGCCTTGAGTCATTGTTAGCTGCCTTTTAAAACGATCCAAGCAAAGGAACAAGGAACAAAGGAACAAAGGAACAAAGAAACAAACAAGCAAACAAGCAAACAAGCAAACAAGCAAGGCGAAGCAAAGCGAAGCAAAGCAAAGCAAAGCAACGCAAGGCAAGGCAAGGCAAAGCAAAGCAAACAAACATAGAAGAAAGAAAGAAAGAAAGAAAGAAAGAAAGAAAGAAAGAAAGAAAGAAAGAAAGAAAGAAAGAAATAATAAAATAATGAAAGAACAAACAAAAGAAGCAAACAAACAAACAAACAAACAAACAAACAAACAAACAAACAAACAAACATGCAAACATGCAAACATGCAAACAAACAAACAAACAAACAAACAAGCAAACAAACAACCCAACCCAACCCAACCCAACCCAACCCAACCCAACCCAACCCAACCCAACCCAACCCAACCAACCAAGCAAGCCAAACCAACCAACCAACCACCCAAACAAACAACAAAGCCAATCCAAGCCAAAGCCAAGCCAAGCCACACCAAACCGACTAAGCCAAGCCATACCGAACCAAGCCAACCCAACCAACCCAACAGACAATCAGGCAAAACATGCCCCCGCACCAAGGCCACACCTTTTCAAGCCATCTCCGCCTCTGTCCTTCGCTCGGGCGAGCCTGCGAGCCCGGGCTTGGCGCGGAGGAAAGACTATGCCATGACAGATTCACTGCTTGCTTCATGAATATCGTCTGATGCAAAAGGGAGCACGGGTGTTTTCCGTCAGCCAGCAAGTTCTACCCGACCAAGGCCGCCGCCGGAGCAGCTTCGCAGGACCTGCGCCGCAGAAAGCTCAACTACAGCTTAGGCATCCCTGGTTCCCCTCGAAAGAGGGCTGTCGTCTCTTTTTGCCTCAACCGCCTGCCCCAGAAAGCCACAGGCGAGAGACTTTCCAGTCGCAGGGTGCTCGAAGATACAAGGCAGCATACAAGCCACCACACAGCTGGGCACCTAAAACCCTTGAGCCTTGATGCGGCTCTCACATGAAGGGCCCTTTGTTGGGATAGGCTTCGAAAGGGTGAGCATCACTTTCGCGCGCCTCCTTGGGCAGCATCTCCTGCAGGAAGCTCTTCTTAGCATCCAAGCCCTCCAAGGTCTCCCAGCGGTGGTACGGGATCAGCGTCACCTCTGCCCAAGAGTTGACTGCCCAAGCGCAGTCATTCAAGGGGCATGGGGCACATGGGGCACGTCAATTCTATTGGCCTATGTTCCTGCCCTAGCGCCAGTACCCGGTTTCTGTGTGATCGGCAGCGCATCAGTCACGAGTGCCATCCGATTCCAACCTGTTTCAAGGAAACCCCGGATCTAACTAACACTGACCTATCCCCACCTGGAAGCCCATGGCTCTCAGCATCTCCTGGCGCCGCCGTGCCAGCGCAGTGGGCTCCACAGACCGCAGGTAGAATTGCCACCTGCGCAGCTGCTTCGAGACAATGGGTCTGCTCTTTGCTACACTTCTCTTGGAAGTTACAAAACATCGCTACTCTTCCTTTGACGTCAACTGCTCTTTTGAACCTTTTATGTGGTAAGCCTAATCTCTCCCACTAACATGGTTGGAGGTTCCTGGAAGATCAACTTGCTCCTGAAGGGACCCTCTGTGAGGTGCCATGTTAGTTGGAGGGAGGGTAAACAGTTCGACTCCCAAACGCCCGTGCGAGCCATGCCCTGCCGCTCTGCCTGGGCGCTGCCTCGAGCACGTGCATCTGCCCCAAGTGGGCGTCCAGCACCATTGGTCCCGCGCGCAGGCGGTTGCTGTGCTGCACGCCCTGGGCCCAGAATGCAAAAGCCATGTCAACTTCGAGCTTGAATGGATGTGACTGCGAGCTCTGCACCCCCGGAAAGGCCACCTTGGCCTAGATGTGACTTGGGGACAAGTAGAGCTTGCAAACGTTCTCTGAAGCCGGCTGGAGCCCGCAAGTATGTACCAGAGAAAATAGCCCCCCATCTCTGCTCCATGACCCAACCCAAGGGGACCATATCTGCTCGACTTTCAGAGAAAAAACGCGCTGACTCCAAGTCACTAGGGCCACCAAGGTCCGACTGATGTCTTCGTGCAACTCCGAGTTGAAACGCCTGGCGATACGGGGCTCCAGGCAAGCCCTCGAGCAACATAGGTCCCGAAAAAGGATCTGCAAATGGATTACGCAAGCATCCCACCCAATGATTTTCATCCTAAGGCCCATGGCCCCAAATCTTCTCCCCCGGCGCCCGGCTCGCCTTGGGTTGAAGCCCGTCACCAAGCTCGGCTCGTCGTCCGAGTCCGAGTCCTCCACCCGGTCGCGGCTGTCTTGTGCAGCCTCTCGAACCTCCTGCCTTGGTGACCCGAGCGCTCCTCGAATGCTTCAATGCGTTCATCTGCATTGTGACATGTGTGGCTTGGCAAATTTGAAGGCTTTGCCTGCCACATGTATCAGCTGAAGGATTGTCGCCGAGAAAATTTCCCAACAGACTGGCCGGCCAGGTTCAATTTCCCTACATCAAAACAACCGGCTCCCTAGAAGTGCATGTTCCCTGTGCGACACCGATCTGGCGCCAAGCTGCAGGAATAGCAGGAGGTTGTCACCTAAGGTCCGCCAGAGCTTGGGATACAGCAGGTGCACGTGCAGCTCCACCATTTGCAAATGCCGGGAGTACACGAAGTGATTCCTCGCGTTCTCGCAGCACTCCAGGTAGCTGAGCATCGCCTCGTCCTCGCAGAGCTCCATGACAGAAATCGCCTGAACCGGACCAAGCTGACAGGAAACTCAAGCTGAAGCAGGATGAGCACGACAATGAGGGGATCCCTTTCGCAACACGAGGGAAGGATGAATTGCCTTTGGCCAGCCTGGGAAGAGTTTCGTATGCTTCGTCTAGCATGAGGAATAGCTGCGACTGTCTGCACAGGGATCCAGCATTTGAGGGTCGCTGACCATCCTGGTACATCCCAAGTAAGCTGATTCACCATGGCCTGGCGGCCTAGAAAACTTGCAGCATGGATCCAGGCACTCTAATAAGGCAAAGTCCTGCAGAAAATTCCTGGGACTTGCAGTTGGGGTAAGCTTGCTGCACAACCCCAGCACAGTTGAAGGGAGCTTGTTCGAAGCAGCCAATTAACAAGCATGCATGACTTGGCGGTAAAGCAACACCAACAACATGCATCTCAGCAAGGGGCCAGTTGCACATATTCATCTCGCTTCAAACAAATGGGAACCCTAACAGCACTGATGTGGCAAGCACATAGATATCTGACACCTCCGTTCTGCATCTGACCAGTTCGGTGTATAAGTTCGCTGGGTTTTTCCCTTCCAATCTGCTCCTTGGCCAGTCTCTTTTTGACTTTAACCTCCAATGCAATGCTCCAACCCTACCCACCTTGCTTCCTCGGACCCCCCCCCCAAGCCCCAAGCCCCAATCCCAGGAGGCCTCGAACCCAATCCGCCCCCTGCCCCGCCCCAGCGTCGCGCAACTTAAAAGCGCGCCTTGAGGTTTCCCAGGTGCTTCGGCGCCAGGCGCGGCAGCCAGCTGCGCAGCGTCAGCTTCAGAGGCTTCGCCCAGAGCTCCTCCGGCGTCACGCGCCGCGGGCAGTAAATGTCACGCATGACGAAGGGACCCCAGGGCACCAACATGAAACCGGCGACTGAAGAGGCCGGTCTTTTTGGAACGGAAGCCCATGTGGGCCCCAGATTCCATGTTGACTTTGGGAGTGCTCTTGCCACGTTTACCCGGGCCCAGCTCCTGAGCGAGGCCCAGTTTGGCCACGGCGTTGCAGCTCCGCACAAAGTTCCTGGGCGATGGCTCAGGGCCGCCCTGCCCACCGAAGCCGGGGGCGCGTGGATGCTGTCTTTGCCTACCAACCAAAAACCAAGCTGTGCTTTGGCAACTTCAATTTGAGAGGGACGATGCGCCAACCCGCGCAGCTGCACCTGGGCAGCGCTGCAAAACACTAAGGCACTAAGGCAAAACATTCAGGCAAGAGTGCCTTGACGGGCTTTGCTGCAGCCAGCTTGCGCCACCAAGAGCTAGAGCGAGTTTCTAAAGTCGACCCAACGACGGAAAGCAAACGGTCGACTTTCCATGGGTTGCGCAAGCTAAACGCACACACGAGCTGTTTGAGGTCGACCCCCCGAAAGGTCCGCAAATGGCTTACTTGTTGATGGTGGCACAAGCGAAACACCACGGAAAAAATCACGTGTGTTTGAGGTCGACCCCCGAAAGTCCGCGGAGGGTTGCGCTGGCAAAGTGAAAATCGTTCAAACAGCCCCGAGTTGTCGAGGGTCGAGGATACATTAAAGCCGCACACACTCGAGCAAGAATCACGAGCAGATATCAAAGCCACACTCGACCCCGCCTCTCCTGCCAGCACGATGTTCTCACACACACACACACTTCCCTTGTCCCTGCCACTAAGGTTCGACCAACAGGTGCCTTCGCCTAGAGGGGTCCCACAGCCGGTCCCCCGGATCCGATCCATTTGGTTCCGAACACCTGTGAGGACCACAGCTTGAGCAAATCCTCGGTTTTGGCCAAGCTTCTTCTCGGGCAGCACACGCCAAGCGAGGCTCAGATTCTGGAGCACCCGCCCTGCCTGGCAAGAGTTCTCCGTTTCCGAAGGCTGTGATGGAAAAAGGCAGCCCTAAAAGCGGGACACAAATGATCTATTCAAGCATAGCGATGAAGGTTCCTGATTTGAAGATCTACAGAATGGTCCTTGGTGTCACGGACGTAAGAGATGCTCGCTGTCCCGAGTCCGTGACGCAAACAGCAAAGCAAGTGGCGCAGTTTTGGGGAACACACCAGCAAGACCTGCGCATGGCGCAACCTGAACCTGAACTTTTTAAGACCTCTGAGCTTGCTACACCCATTGTGTTATACACTGCAGCGGTTCCTTTTTTTCCAGCGCAGGCCGGAGACTTTTTCCAGGTGAGACTGCTCGCGCTGGCGCAGTGGCTGCTCTGCAGCCCACGCCAAGCACGTCATTAACTTGAGCCAGCTCACGAGAAGCAACTCATGCCAACAAGTATCACAAGAGATTGGTGACCAAACAGCGGAAAGGATCCCATGCAACGGGTCAGTCCACCGAGACTTCTGCAATTTGGCTGGTAGACTACAAGACAGCATGCCCGAAGCACACGCACCTGCTCTGCGCATCTAGCTCGCATCACATATCCTGGGGCGCGTGGAATGACACGACCATCACATAGCTTTCAGTACGCCCTGAGAACAAATGTTTGTATAGAACCAATTTCGGAAACTGCGCCTGCACTCAAAGAATGAGCACCACACCAGCATAGACGCCAGATAGCTAAAGACCGGCAACACCAAAAGAGCACCTGCACCAGCACCGGCATAGCACCCTACAGTCAATCTTGCAAAACTGCGCCCGCACCATCAGCACCCCAAATCTGCACGTGCTAGCACCCTGCCATCAATCTGCAAAATTTCATCCGCACCGTCGCAAACAGCTCCCCAAACAGCACACCCTAAGAGCATCTGCGCCAGCACCAGCCGTCAATCTCGCAAATCACTTTTGTCGCTTTATTAGAAGTTAGAACTTCTAGAACCGCTATGTCTTTCTTTCAGCACAGATGTACAAGAAGATGTACCCGCACTGCAAGCAATAGCCGTGTTTAAGGTCCACATCCGAACAGAAAGATTCTGTACCCAAATAGCCACATAGCTTGCCGGCCATCGTTTTGGCCGTTTGAAGCCCTGGACACCTGGGTCACGAATCGAATGATCTCCACCCGCCAACTTGGCCCCGTGCCGGGTGTCCAACCACTCCGGGGAAGAGCGAGATGGGCGAGCTCACTACCGCCTGGGCAAAGTCAAAGGACCTCACTTGTCTGCCCGCCCGCCACTGGAAGTGGAAGTGTTCCCCACAGGTTCCGGTTCTGCGAGATCTAGGGAACTACCTCCAAAACATGACAAGCGACCATGTGAAGAACACGCGTCTGTAGGTTTCGGCCACCAAAAATCCATTCTGAGCCTTTTTGGCCGGAAATCTAATCTCCATAAAACCACTAATAACTGGAAAGCTCTGGACAAAGCTGCGAGACTTCTTTGCAGTTGAAGCGCGGCAGGCGCAAACTGGTGTGCCAAGCTCAAGCTTTTTGGGAGACAGGGACACCGCCCACTGCTTCCGAGCCGCCAGGGGCGTGGGCTGTGCCATGCGAGCGTTGGCCGTGGCGCTGTGCACCTCAATGCGCGCAGCGAAAAAGTTCCTGGGCGCAAGGCTCAGGGAGGTCGTGCCAAATGTGATGATTCCATGTTATACTTGGCTGAACTTTCGGCCACCAGACCGGAAAGGCTACGCAAGTGCTGCGAAATTTCAGCTGGAACGTCCCCTCAGAAACCGGAGGTGGACACAGCCCACCCAACCTGTTTCTGCGCCCTCCACATGGGATGCCTTACACCTTTTCACTAAGCAGCAGTCGTCCGCACTGTGTTGTCTTCGAGCCAAAGAGAAACATCTTTGGCAAACAAACACTGCTTGCGCACAGCTGTACCATCAGACCGGCAGAAAAGCCATATGCTTGTGCAACTACGGACCAGCGCTTATCTGTGACAAACACCTGCAAGCAGCTGCCCAAAAATGCAATGGTGAAGCACTATTCACCGCAAGTGACACAGGGAGTAGTATGACCCACCTCATCAGCCAACCAATCTTGCTTCTGCTCGCTGCTGTTGCGAGCATTGCAGTCCGAGAAGCTCTTGCATGCAGTGTCTTGAGATGGCAGATTCTGAGGCGCAAGCTGTCAAGAGTTTGTTGCCAATATTTACATGCGGCCTGATATTGTCCTGCCAGTTAGTTGGCAGAAACACCGGCTTCACGGTGGGAGATCTTCGGATATCCTTCGACTCCCGCTTGGGGTCCGGCATAAGATTGCAAGTTGGCGCGGTAGTCACTCCTGACAGCAAAAGGGCCCCCGGACGCCATCAATCTGAGCGTGCTTTTTGTCATGTGAACAGGTCTCGCGGACATGGTGTGCCAGACCGGAATACCAGCCATTGGCAAGTGCCACTGATGTTTTGGGATCGGATGATTGAAATAGAATGAATCAAAAGATGTTCGCCGGCAGCGCGCTCCGCCAAAAGGCCCATCTTGGCTCCTTCCCCTTCCCCAAACAGCCTAACCACCTCCAACCATCCCTCACCCCCAAACTCGTTTCTGGCCTCCACAGCGCCGTGGGGGGGCCCCCCACGTAGTTGTGGTGCACCTCCGAGATGGGCGGCCTGGCCGGGCCAAACGTTTCGATCCAACTCGAAACGCGTCGCCTTGGAGTCACCGGCGGTCACAAGTTGGATCTTTCCCATGCGGGCTGCGTGACTTGAAACACATGTCACACAGGGTATTTGCCCACATTGCTTCGGGAAGGGGATGACCTTGCAGCCACTGGTCCCTGAATTATTTTCCCACAGTGCACGCGAGATTCAGGCGCTTTCAAAGACCAAGGGGGCGAAACAACCCCAGGCGCCGGGCTTCATCGGAGCTGTGAGGGGGCCAAGTTGAAGCTCAGAGCGGCGGCCTTCCTTGGCGCGGAGCGCTTAGCGCTTGGGGCTACTTTGCATCCCCGACATTCAAAACTCCGCAAAAGACGCGTTTTGTGGGGTTGGACTTTGAATCTCCCTTTTGGATGCCCAGCCCAACAGGCAGGCCACCCCATTCCGGAAGGTACCTTCCTGGTTGCTTTTTTTGTATTTTCCGTTAAGGGTTGGCTTGGGGTTGGGTACGGTCGGCTTAAGATCGGCTTAAAGCGCTTGAGGGTTGATTTAAGGTGGTTTTTAGGTTGGCTTGGGGAGGTCAAGCCGAGGGTTGGTTCAGGGTTTTACTGTTGGTTTAGGGTTTGTTCAGGATGGGTTTAGGCTTCGTTTTTGGGTTGGCTTAGGATGCTTTAGGGTTGGTTTGGGGTTGATTTAGGGGCATTTTTAGGGTTGGTTTAGGGTTGGTGTCCGCGTGGTGTAGGGTTAGCCTAGGGTCAGTTTAGGGTTCTTTGAGCTCACGCCGCCATGAGCGGCGCGGGCCGAAACGCTCATTGTCTTGACTGGGGGGTTGGGGTGGGGGTAGGGGGTGGGGTGGGGTGACAGCGTTCACAACCAGTGCTTCGCGCATTCCCCGCTGGCACGGCCGCAAACAGCTCACGGGGCGGGGTGGGGGGAGGGGTGGGGTGGTTGTGTTCACAAGAAGTGCTTCGCGTATTCCCCACTGGCACGGCCGCAAACAGCTCACGGGGTGGGGTGGGGGGGGGGGGTTGGGTTTCTTCGTTCTTTTCAGCTGTGCAGTTTGTTGGGGGCAACCATTTCAATGCTTCAGACTCAAGGCTCAGCTCTTCCAGTTGTGTTCTCGCTTGGGCTTTCTGTGATCTTGTGCATGGACTTGAGACGTTGCGCATGCCTTTCTGGGATCTTGACATTTGCACACATGCCGCAGATGGCGGGCTCCTCCCAAGAAACGCAGTGCCTAGCTCTAGTGCTCCTCTTGCGACTGGCATGTGTAAGCTTGCCACCACTCCTAGCACGCTGGCAGCAAGAGGCTGTGGAAACCGTGAATGCTCTGCATGAGCTTTCAGTGCTTCTCCTCGATATGATGCTGTCTCATCCATAGTGCGGGCTGCCGCGCAGGCGCGGCATGACTTCCAAAGTCTGAAGGCGCTGTCTGCTTGATGCTTGGCTTTGACAACAGGCCAGTGTGAACCACAGCTTGCTGGAGTTCTGCCGCGCGACGCCTCTGCCTGAGAAACCTGATGCATATGTGGCAGCGGGGACGCAATGTATCGACCAAAGCTGGCAGGACGTGAAAAAGCACCTTCCTTCTGAGATAGCGGCGAAAGACCCTACGAGTAAGCTCATCAATGGAAACTTGTGGACGTGGATCTACTCTTGGCAGCGGCGACGAAACTGTGGAGGGACTTATGGGCTACAGTGCCAGCCTTGTTTCACAGCTGAGGACACAACTGATGGAGCAAAAAAGGGCTCCGTTCCGCTGTGCGAAACGGCCAGCGCCGCTAATGGCGGCGTGACCTTGTTTTAGGGTGGCTGCAGGGTTGGTTTAGGGTTGGTTTTGGGGTTGGTTTGGGCTTGGTTTAGGACGCTTGAGGGTCGCCCTAGGGCTGGTTTGGGGTTGGCTCAGGGTTGTTGTAGGATCTGCTTGCCTGCGACTCACGCTTCAGTGCTCCCCCAACATGAGACTGGCATTCAAACGATTCTAAACCAGTAGGAAAGCAGGCAAGGCTCCTCTTCTCAGTGCTCCGCTAGTGCTCTTCTGGCGCTCCTCTACTGCTCCGCTAGGGCTCCTTTAGTGCTTCTCCAGTGCGTGTCGATGCCCGTTTTGAGGTACACTTCTGTGGATGGACGAAATCCATTTCGCACCACGAAATGGAACCATGGGAATGAAACCATAAAACGTTCGTTGGTATTTACCTTGGATAATCGCATCATTCTGTTGGATTTCTCAGGTGCCGAAGAGGAGCTCGCAACCATCCACAGTATTGATGAACAATCCATGTATTATCTACATATGTATATATGTATACATATTTGTATACATATATATATATATGTATACCAACATTTAACCCGTGTGTAAGG